TGAAAAGGGGGGCGGGTGGCTGATTTATTACATATTTTCAGGTAAGAAGTCCAATTTAGGCCTGCCTGCTGGTTGTGATTATTAAAGACTGGTATAATTAATGATTGCCTAATAGTTTGCCTAGGTGAGACCTATAGGCATAATGTCTAACAAGGTGATACATACTGATTTTAAGGGAGGATTACTGATTTTAGAGATGAACCAATTCCGCAGATGTTAATATTATTATTACTGATTTTAGACTTGCGGATGAATCAGATTTTAACGACTGCTCCTATAGGCATGCATTCTAAGTGTTAGTGATTTTAAAACGGTTATGCAAGTGCAGGAATCCTATGAGCATGGTATCTAGGATGCAATTGATTATTCCTTAGCCTATGGATTGTTTTGCCTAATGTCATATGCATGTGCAGAAATGCAGAAACTTATAGGCATGGCTTCTATATGTTGAAATGCAGAATCTTATAGGCGTGGCTTCTGTATGCTGAAATGAAATAAACTATAGGCAGGATCTCTATATGCAGTATTGAAATAAACTATAGGCAGGATATCTATATGGAAAAAATCTATAGGCAGGATCTCTATATGCAGAAACATAAACGAAAGTGTTGTGGTTGCGGAAATAAAGACCTAAAACATGATATCTACCCCATATGCATAACATGAGAGACCCTCCCCCATCGTTTACTATACACCCCATAAGTATTACAAAATTATTACAACTTGAATGAATCCAGAAAAGTAAATAAAAATTGCATCAGAGATTAAAATTCCAACCAAGGAGAGCCTAATTCAGACTCCTAGTCTGAAACATGAAATAAACCAGCTTCCAAAGATCGGATTTCCAAAGCCTTTCTCATTTGGGTGTGTCAGAGTTCCAAGGAGCTTCATGAACTCTAGGCAGTGCTTACACCCAATTACATTTGCAGGATCAGATTATAGTGCAGTGTGGAATGGCCAGCCCTCAAATGTCCAAGTTCAGAGGGAACTCAAGGTCCCCAAGGCAAGGCTCATAGGAGGGGGGCAGAACTTAGAGTCTAAGAATAAGTGTAAGTGCAATAGAGAGGGAATCAGGGAAGGCCGTAACAAACTAGTGGTCATTCCCAGCAACTAGAATACTGGCACACCCCTGACCAGCCTGTCAGCTTAAATTTAAGAGTTAGGACCTATTGAAGGTTAGGTTCAGACCTGGGCAGCAATTTGGATACTGTCAGGCCATGATCTTTAACTCAGCACACAAAAGGGAATGGGGGTATGGGGGATTCATAACAGACAATGAACATAAAAGAGAGTAACATGTTTAATACAGAATATGAACAGCAAAGTAGACAGGAATAGGACAACTGTAAAGTAAACACATAGTGAAGGAACTGAAATCAAATGGAGACATACCAATTTCAGGGAAAATAGGTAAGTAAAGCAGCAGTCTTGAAAAGCCAAGTTGCAAGCAAAGCAGTACAAAAGTCTCAGCAGAGAGTAGAGAGTTTGTAGGAGTATTGTGACTGAAAGTGGGTGTGTGAGAGTATGAGCATTGAACTTTTGGGATTCAGAAGTTCAAAGTTTTAGAGTTGTAAAGTTTTTTTTTTCAGAGCTTAAAACTTGTTTCAATGCAGAAGGGTCGAGCCCCTTTTATAATGCAGCAAATAAGCAAGAAAAAGGTAAGGAAATAACATTGCAATCAGTCTCCCTTTAGTTAAGGAATTCTGATTTCAAACGGGTAAAAACAATTATGGAAAGGGATTTTGAAAAAATATTTTCCCAGTAGTATAATAAAGGGTAAGTACATAGAAGCTATTTAAGGCAACAAACTAATAGTACGTGGTTTGTAAAAAAAAGGAAAGGGAATCAACCAGTAAAAATTAAAATTTCAGACTTTTACTTGAATGAATCAAGTCAGAAGAAGGGGTAAAGAAAGGTTCAATTAGGGAAAACTAGTAACAATCAAGTGAACACAATTAAAGGAATTCAGAATCAATCAGTAGTTGGCAAAGCCCTTTTTTGAAAGAAGAGTTCTCACATATAAACACACGAATACGTAAATCAAGGAGAGACTGTTAAGTTATTTAAAAGAGAATTTAACCAAAGAAAAATTCAGAATCATAAGCAAGGAGATACAGGTTCAATCTGGAGACTCATAATGATTCTGAGAGTCCAGGGTCCCAATGTGGAACCCTGACTCGAACACAAAAATCAAAGTCGTCAAAGGAAACCCCCAAATCCTAGGGTTTCACAATTGAATCAGACATGGAAAGCAAACCATTTGTTTCAGAGTCTCAACAAAAAGAGATATGATAGCATGCTTGAACGACAAAGGAAGAAAAATCATGAAGAACATATTTGAGAAAACTCAGAGCCTAAACGAGTTCAGAAGAAGGAAATAATACAAACTTGAACACAAGTAGATGAAGCATGTAAGAACATGAACAGAATCCAAAAAAATCAAACGGTAAGCACACATAGCAGAAGAGTAGTGAAAACATAGTAGGAGTAGAAAAGAAGAGGCAAAACACAATATATGCATAAAATAAAAGAAATCATGCGAGCAGGGTATAAACAAACACACATAAAGCAAAGAAGAAAAAGAACTAGAAAGATTTATTTTTTTTCAAAAATCATTTTAGAAACCCTAAAATCGAAGAGAAACGATTTAGACAAAACTTTTGGGGAAAACACTCTAGATGGCAAGGAAAGCATAGACACAGTATAGATCTAAACAAATAACGGTGAAAGAACCTCGAATGGCTTAGGGTTTTGGAGAAACCCTAGAAATGAGAAAGGCTTGGAGACAGGTCCGATCTTGAGTCGGAGAGGTCAAGAATCAAGCTCCTGGGTCTCGAATGTGCCGGAGCATGGCCGGAGAAGCCATGGAATCGAAGATCGGAGAAGATCGGAGGGAGAACCATCGAAGTCAGCCTTCCAGACCTCGAACACTCAAGGTCTAATGGTGGAGAGGGTGGGTAGAGACCATCAATGGACTGGGAAGCCATGGATTCCGGTGAAAATTCGGTGAAGGAAGGTGGGAGGAGGCTAGGGTTTCGGAGAGTTGTTAAGAGGATTTGAGAGTGTTTTGGGATTTTAGGGCGGCTGGTCCGGTGAGAATGAAGGGGATTAGGGTAGGTTGTTAGGTTTAATTATGGAAGGGTGAGTTTTGGCCGTTGATCTTGAGTGATCAACGGTCTAGATTTAGACGGGTAGGTGGGGAACGGGTTGGGTCGTTTGGAATTGGGCCGATGGGTTGGGTTCGGACTAAAATTGGGCTAATTAATTGGGTAGAATTGGGTCAATTAAGGGGCCAAAAGTGAAATGAAATAGGGCTATAATTGAAATAGAAATGGGGCTAGATATTAAATAGCCAATTTTCCCTTTTTATTTATAAAAATAGTAAAGCTAATTTTAAAAGTAAATTAAAAATACAGAAACAATTAATAGTGCATAAATATAAATTTAAAAATACTGGAGCTAATTTTACAATTATAAAATACTATTAATCGTAAAATAGGCTATAATTGCAATTATATGCAATTTAGCTTTAAGAAATACCAAATAAATTTGTAAAAATATGAAAAAATCACCTTAATTATATTTTGGTGCAAAAATGAGAATAAAAAATAAATTATTCACCAAAATGATAATCTTGGGAATAATTATGGATTTTGTACTGATAAAATAGACAATAAATTGGTTTTGAAAATCTTTAAAAATTAGGAAAAAATACCAAAACTCTTAGGTATGCTTATATATGCATATATATGCTACTTTTGAAAGTATTTTGTATATAAAAATTATATAGGAAAAAATTGGGTATCAACACCTTCAAGGCTTGCTCACATTCTGACATCCATTCGAAATCATTCTTCTTTTTTAGCAGTGCGAAGAAGCGATGACATTTTTCCGACAATCGGGAAATGAACCTGCTCAATGCTGCTAATCTCCATATGAGCCTCTGGACTTCTTTTACGTTTGACAATTGATCTGGGATATCTTCTATGGCCTTGACTTTGTCGGTTTACCTCAATTCTCCTTTGTAAGACCAGAAATCCCAGGAACTTACCAGAGTTGACCCGAACGCACACTTCTCGGGGTTAAGTTTCATGTTATGCTCCCTCAGGATGTCGAATATTTCTTGCAAATGCTTAAGGTGGTCACCTGCATTCAAAGACTTAACGAGCATATCATCTATATACACTTCCATAGTCTTTCCTATTCATTTCTCGAACATCTTATTCACGAGCCATTAATAAGTGGCTCCGGCATTTTTTAACCCAAAGGGCATCACATTGTAACAATATATATCGAAATTTGTTATAAACGAAATCTTTTCCTGATCTTCCGAGTTCATCTTGATTTGATTGTACCTAGAATAAGCATCGAGAAAACTCATTAACTCGTGTCCGGCTGTGGCGTCAATCATTTGATCGATATTTGGCAATGGGAACGAGTCTTTCGGGCACGCCTTATTAAGATCCTTATAGTCACGCATATGTGAAACTTATTGCTTTTCTCAGGAACTACTACTACATTAGCTAGCCAGTCTAAATATCTTACCTCTCGGATTAAACCGATATTGAGTAAGTGGTTTACCTCTTTTTTGACAAATTTATTCCTCACTTCAGCTATAGGGGGCTTTTTCTGTCTTACCGGATATATGTTGGGATCTAAACTTAACTTGTACACGGCTATCTCCGTCAAGATACCTATCATATCCCCATGCGACCATGCAAAACAATCGGCGCTATTTTAAGAAATTCAATAAAAGTAGACCTAAGCTCCGGGTGCAATCCTGTTCCCAAATGGAATTTCCTTTCTAGGAATTCTTCGAGCAGTGCAACTTGTTCTAGTTCTTCTGCCGCGGACTTCGTTGCGTCCATCTCTTCTGGATCTTGGAAATACCTTGGCACCTGATACTGTTTTGATTTCTCTGCCCTCGATTAACTTCCTCTAATGCGGGGGCAAGTGCCGGTTCTTGTAATTGCTATGCCACGCACTCCTTTCCTTTGCTACTAGAGACCGAGATTGCATTCATCTCTTGTTGCCGGTTGATCACCCCTTATATGCTTGATCCCCTCGGGTGTCGAAAATTTCAACAATTGGTGATACGTTGAAGGCACAACTTTCATCTCATGTAACCATGGCCTTCCTAGGATAATATAGTACCCCATGACTCCGTCTACAACTTCGAAGAGAGTTGTCTTCATTACTCCTTCAGGATTTGTGAGCAGCAAAATCTCTCCCCGGGTTGTCACGCTTGCGAGGTTGAATCCAGCGAGGAGCTTTGTTGCCGGAATAATGCTTCCGGTGAGTTTGGTTTGCTCCAGTACTCTCCATTGTATAATATTAGCTGAAATTCTTGGATCCACTAGAACACATTTAATCTTAAAATCTAATACATTTAAAGAAATTACCAGTGCATCATTGTGTGGAAGCAACAATCCATCTGTATCTTCCTCCGTGAAAGTGATATCATCTTCCCAGAGCCTTTTACTTCGAGTTATTGAAACTTTCGTCTTCTTCATCGCTGAAAAGGTGACCTCATTAATCTGAAGATCATTGACCGTTTGGTGTGGGGGTTCTTCTCCTGCTTTCGAGGGTTCCGCATTGTCTCTGTTCCGACCATAGTTGTTCTTGGCTCGGTCACTTAAGAATTCTATGAGGTGACCATTCTTCAATAGTGTTTCCACTTCTTCCTGAAGGTGTCGGCAGTCCCCTGTCCGGTGGCCCTTTGTCCCATGGTATTCACACCATGAGTTGGGATCCCTCTGTTCGGGAACGGATCTCATTGGTCTCGGGAATCGTGCCTCTTTGATGTTTCTCAAGGCTAACACAATTCCACTATACTGACTTTGAACTTGTATTTCGATAACTTGGGGTAAGAAAGATCCCGTGACCCTGACATTTCTTTCTCCTACAGTTTGTTGTTCCGACCATGATCGTTACTTCTGTCAACGGTGAACTTATCAGTTGTTCGAAGGTTTTTGCTACGGCTTTCAGTCCGCTCGTAAGAAAAAACCGGCCCCTCGAAGTCCATCTGTCGTAGTCATCTTTTGATTTTCTCTATCCTTCTCCCGAATTTTGGCCGACGATGGAAAGCCAACTTGATCATCTTCGATTCTTATCTTTGACTCGTACCGGTTATGGACATCTGTCCAAGTCGTAGCCTGAAACTCAAGCAAACTTTCCTTCAACTTTCGAGAAGTGTCTGAACTTCTCAGATTCAATCCTTTAGTGAATGCTTCAGCCGCCCATTCATTCGGGACAGCCAGGAGAAACATTCTTTCCTTTTAGAAACGGGTGACGAATTCGCGTAGCAACTCGGACTCTCCCTATGCAATCTCGAATATATCGGCCTTTCATGCTTGCACTTTTCTAGCCCCGGTATGGGCCTTGATGAAGGAACCCACGAGCATTTCAAAGGAATTTATGGAATGCTCAGGTAATAATGAATACCACATCAGAGCTCCTCTCGTGAGAGTTTCCCCGAATTTCTTTAGCAACACAGATTCAATTTCGTGAGGCGCTAAATCATTTCCTTTTACTTCCGTCGTGTAAATGGTAATATGCTCCTGCGGATCCGAAGTTCTGTCATATTTGGCACATAAGGCATTTTGAACCATTTTGGGATCAACTCTAGTGCAACGCTCAGCTTGTACAGCAATCGAGTATACTTCTTTGAATCCGGGCCTTTCAATACGGTGGCGCACCCGGGATTTGGTCCATGCGAGAGTTTACTTCCCTCATAAATCATAAAATCTCATTCTTGAAAAGATTGTTTTCGTTGTTGAGACCGGATCCGCTCCCTCCAGTCCCATCGGAGCCAACTTCACCCCTGGGAGTGTTGTTGCCGACCCTCTGTGCTGTTTGATTTTTGGGGACACCGGGAGGAATTGGATCTCGCTTGTTTGCATTGTTGGAGGCACCCAACAGTGCTTGCTTCAATTCCGTCATAACCTTATCCTGCCGCGTGAGATGGCTTAGGATGAGCGCCTGTTGCTCTTGTAAAACTCTTACCGCTTCAACACCATGTTCCTCATCAGCATCATCGGGAGTTGCCTCCCGAACTTGTCGAGGATACTGCCTGTTATGGACCGGTGTGGAGTCATTCTCTTCATCACGAGTATCACTGATTGAATCCTCTAAATGAGGCTAATCTCCTTGAATCTCGGGGTTGTGCGTGTTGTTAATGGTGTTATCTGCCATTTTTTTTTATTGTTTTTCTTTTCTTAGATAGAATAATCAAAGCATGCTAGTAAAAAAGACAAGGATCAATTTAATTACACGGCTGTCTAGGTCCCACGGTGGGCGCCAAACTATTTTTCCATAAAACGGTACAGTTGAATTTATACATGGTTTCTAGACAAGTGAACTAATTTGATCCACAAATAATAAAGCAATTAAAGAATAATATGATACTTAGCCTTAGAAAGTAGGTAAAATAGCATAAATAACGATTTCGGGAACAAGCTTTCCGGGCGCAGCAATGATGAGATCAGAAGCAAGAAAGTAAATGACATTAAGCTTTATATAGAATACTATATAAGTTTGCCAGAAAATTTGTCTCCTTTACAATGATAACTGAGCTCTCTATTTATAGCTATGTCTTGAGAAGGAGGTCGTACGATCGTGCCCTCCTTTAATGTCAATTATGAGGTCCATTGATGAAGGTGTAATGGTGGAAATAAATTCCAAATTCCTTGTAACATGTTGCCGTTCATTGCAGAATATTCTCTAATAAATTCTACCGGACACAAAGCATTTAATACACCTTTATGAACATTCTCCCCCGGTGACAAGCTGAATAGCTGCGTTCGGTGACCATATCGTCTTAGGTTCCACGTGTCCTTCCTTTAGGTGACCACGTGTCATATCATATTTTTCCCTATACAACCGTTAAGTTGGTTGAAACAATTTTTTTGGCGGGAAATTTGCTGATCCCTTCTGAAAAGTTTCTGACGGTTGATTAGACGCACGTCTCTCCGCATTTAATACGCCGAACACGCGTCACCCCATGATTTAGCATAACTTTTGTCGGTTATCAAGGTAATCACAACCACAAGTTTAGCTGCATATACCTTAACTTATACGCATCAACTTCCTTCATTTACATTTCGTAACACTCTAAATTTTTTAAGACTTTATTTACTCAACTCATCTTTAACCTTTCTTTAACTTCCTTCTTTGAGAGAAAAACTTTCCCTTTGATAAAAAATGGCTTCTTCTTCAAGAAAACCTAGTTCATCAAAGAACAAAGGCAAAGCTGATGATGGCGTTCCTCCTACGGTGAGTACCATCGTCCCAAAGAACCTGATTACCACCAAAGATTTCGAAGAGAAGTTTCCCTCTGCTAACTCTCGTACATGGGTCGTTGGCAAATACCTTCTTCCATCCGTCCTTCTAGTATTCCTACTGTGAAGGAAGATTGTCACTGCCAGGATTTAGACATTATCACTCCTGATCTGGCAGAGCGGGCAACTCTACCCAAGGAGGGTTTTACATATTTTTACACGTATCCCTTTACTTTGGGAGCGTTTTCTGTGAGTGGAGAGCTTGACTCCGTCATTGTGGAGTTTTGCCTCTACTACCAGGTGTGTTTGGCACAAGTTCTTCCGTATAAAGGACGATTACTGTCTTCGACGCTTGTGCCAAGAAACTGGAGAGGAGTTATCCCTAGCTCACGTGATGAACCTCTATTCCCCCAAAATCTTCCACGGGGGAATGGTAAACATCAGCAAATACAACCACCATGATCTTCTATCTAGCATGGATGATGACAACGACCATGGATAGATGGAATGGTTCGTTGCAGTTGCCATAGATGATATCATTCCAACAACGGCTTCATTATTTCCGGAATCATGGAACTGCACTCGTAAATTCCATGTTTAATATTTCTTTCATTATTCTTCTTATATCCTTATTGACCCTCCTTCTTTCGCTTGTCTCAACAACTCGATGTGTACCACCTAGGGTTGAAGGCTTGGACCAGTGGGTCCAAAAAATTTTGGACGTTACTACGCCCGAAACCCACACGTGAAAAGAACTGGCCCTTAAATATGGATGGAAAGCCAAAAATCATGGTAACTTAGACTCATCTCATCTTCGCTTTTGTGTGAGGAAATTTATTAATCCTTTCTCTCTTTGCTGAATTCAAGTCTAACTCGGGGCTCGGTTGTCGTCCCCAAGGAGGAAGTTTTGGCTGATCATGCTGATGCGGCGAGGCTGCTTCAAGAGGCGCTTACTCGAACTGGCATCTCCTGGCCTGCTTCAGGTGTAAGTGTTTTTTCTTGGAGTCCCCTGGCTGGAGAACAGGCAACCAAAAAGAAGGCGTTCCTCCGCGACCGGGGGAAAGAATAAGAGGGCAAAGAGTACCATGCCCAAATCGTCTTCTCATGTTGTGGTGTCGAATGTCACGCCCGAGCCGACCATGAACTTCATCTCCTTCTTCACCAACTCTTCCACCAGAAACTGCTACATCATCTCCACCGGCTACATTTGTCCGAGAAAAGGATGTTCCCCTCCCCAGTCCTCAGTTCATGGGAATTTGGGGCAAAATTATGTCGCCCCCTCAGAAGACCCACAAAGGAGGAGGAGCGTTACTCTCTCGATCTCTACCGGATATAATTTGTTGTCCTGGCCGGTGGAACTTGCTAACTATATGAAGCCTTTGGTTTCAGAAAAAGATTGGGAAAAGATAAAGGCTCTCTCGGGAGAGTGCTTGTTGAACAATGCTATCTACAATGCCGCAACTATATATTCTTCATTTCCTTTGTCATTGTTTCTATCTTTGATTTAGTATTATTTTGAGTTTGTCTTTCTTGTTTCCCAAGCCAATTTCCTCGCTTTCGAGGGACTTCAAAGGTTGATTCGATAAAAGGAGGAACTTACCTCCGAGCGGGATCAACTTTTGGCCGGGCGGGACCAAACTGCTGCTCGCCTCTCAGAACTGGAAGCCAAAGCTGCGAAGGTAGTTGTGTTGAAGGCTCGTTTGCAGCAAAGTGAGCAAGAAGTAGAGACCCTTAGCCAAGAGATTGCCCCACTGAGGGTTCAATTTGAAAAGGCTAAGGCCAAATAGGCTGAAGTCCATAGTGTTGTTCTTGCTCCATCCGATCGTGAGGCTGCCTCCGCTAAAAGATTAAATAACTTGGAAGCGGCGTTAAACTCCAAAAGCGAAGAGCTTGCTACTGTCGGTGTGAAATATGCCCAGTTGGAGGAAAAGTATAAGAGGACCATTGAGCATAACAGACGTTTCATCTCTACTGTCTGTGACCTCGATATTAGCCTTCGGTCTGTTAGATCTGCGCGAGAGAATATTTTTGCCAAGTTAACCAACTTAAAGAAGAACTTCAGCTCCGAGCGGCTTCACTCACTGTTGAGAAAACGTATTCTATATATAGTATGAGGAGAAAAACCTTGAAAGAGGCTAAAATGGTTGTCATAGATTTTGACGCCAAAATTTCTAAGGCCCTGAGCTAGAGTTAGCCGCAAAAAGAGGTCTTTCGGCCAGGTTTGATGCTACCGATTCTTCTACTTCCGATTCTGAGTTCACAGGAACTGGAGAGGGACCAGAAGGTGACGATGCTGAGGGCCAAAATGATGAAGGCCAAGCTATCGAACTGGCGGTGGATCTACCTCCTTCTTCTGGGGGTGTGGATGCTCCTCTTCCTCCGAGCCCTGGAAATGCAGATATTTAGCTTTTGATTCCTTTTTCCCATCTTTTGTACTTGTGGCATTTTGGCACATTTGCTAAAAATAAAACACCTTTTGCTCAAGTATTGCATGAGTCTTTCGTCGTTCTTTTGTTTGATCATTTATGCAAGTTTAATCTTTGCGATCTTTCTTGCTTAAGTATTTTGCACAAGTTTGTTTCTTGCGGCTTTTTTTGTTTAAGTATTTGCGCAAGTTTGCTTTTTTGCATCTTTTTGTGCAAGTCTTCGGGTGAATTTTTCTCCGAAAGCATTTGGATTCCGGACATAAGTTATTCCGAAATCAACCCTTTAATGTGAGGGTTTTTATATGAGAGGACCCTCTTATGTTTACGGTGCTCTTGTGAGGACGGCTCCTGTTCATTATGGCACTGGCATTTGAAGTACTTGTTTAACTTTCAAATGACAAAATCAATTCATCGTTGAGACAAAAAACAAGATAGAAATAAAAGGAATTTACTTTATTCCCTTCATTTTCAAAAGTACATAAGCATTCGTTGTGCTAGAAAGACATTGACATTTCTTGTGGCTAATTTACAACTTGTTTCTATGGGGTGGGTCGCATAGTCCCCGATCACGATGATACAACTATGTTTCCAAATTTTGTATTTCGGTCAAGGGGAATTCGTTGTTGTCGTATCCTCATATCATTCACCCTAGTGTTCAAATGTGAAGAATGCGAATTTGAACACTGGAAGTTCAGTACCTTCGAGGATTCCACCAATGAATTCCTAGATGATCTTCAGTTCGGTAACAAGCTTCACTTCCCCTTAGGAATTCGTGCTATAGAGCCAAAGACTATCTAACAACCCCCTAGTGTCTTGCACTTGTGAATGGTCGGTAACCTCTGTTCGATAGCAAACTTAACTTCCTAGTAGGAACTTAGCTATCGAGCAAAAGATTATCGAACCGACCATGTGGTTCTTCGTTTGTGTGCCTTGTTATTAGAAGGTCTTATTGTTGTTGTTGAAACTTTCCTTCATAGTATGTTTTCCGTTGCTTCCTAGTTAAAAATCCTTGCTAGAAAAACCCAATTGGGACAAAAACTGGATGAAGGAAAAAAGAGTGTAGCACATACTTTCAGTACAAGTGATGTTTATTAGCAATAATATCTCTTGAGGTGTGCCACATTCTAGTTGCTTGGCAACTTTTCTCCATCTTGATTTTCCAACTCGTAAGATCCTTTTCCGGTGACAGCTGAAACCCGGTAGGGGCCTTACCAAGTTGGACCTAGCTTCCCTGCATTGAGTTCCTAGGTGTTTTGAGTTACTTTCCTAAAAACCAAGTCTCCTACTTTGAGATAACGGAGGTTGGCTCTTTGATTGTAATATCTTTCTACTCTTTGCTTTTGAGCTGCCATCCTTATATGCGCCAAGTCCATGCGTTCATCGAGTAGTTCCAAATTGACCAACATTGCTTCGTTGTTTGCTTCTTCATTCGCCTGAACATATCCCGGGGTAGGTTCCCCTACTTCCACCAGGATCAGGGCTTCTTCTCCTTACACAAGGAAGAAAGGAGTCTTTCATGTACTCGATTTGGCCGTTGTTTGGTACGCCCATAGTACTACGGGCAGTTTTTTGGGCCATTTGCCTTTAGCTGCTTCCAATCTCTTTTTGAGATTTTGTATAATCACTTTGTTCGTTGACTCCGCTTGTCCATTTCAGCTCGAATTATAGGGCGAAGATGTGATCCTTTTGATTTTCAAGCCTTCAAGGAACTTCGTGACCTTTACGCCTATAAATTGTGCCCCATTGTCGCAGGCTATATCTTTTGGTATCCCAAATCTGCAAATTATGTTCTCTCATAAGAAACCCACCACTTCGCGTTCAGCAATCTTCTGATAAGGACCTGCTTCAACCCACTTAGAAAAATAGTCACTTAAAATCAAAAGAAACCTTACCTTTTCAAGGGCCGGCGGCAGTGGTCCAATGATATCCATTCCCCACTTTATGAACGGCCACGGAGACAAAACCGAGGGTAATGGTTCTGCTGGTTGATGTACCAATGGTGCGTAGCATTGACAGTTATCGCATTTTTAAACAAAAACTATGGCGTCTTGTTCCATTCAGGGCCAGTAATATCCTGCCCTTACCAACTTTAGTACCAAGGAATCTGCACCCGAATGATTTCCACAAATTCCTTTGTGGACTTCTCGCATAACATAGTTCGTTTTGGAGGTTCCAAAGCATCGGGCCAGCGGGCCTTGGAAAGATTTCCTGTACAATTGGCCTCCTTTGCAGCTATATTGTGCTGCTTTGGCGTAGTGCCCGGGATGACTTAGGATCTTCAGGCATCTTTCCGTGATCGATGTAATCAATGATCTCATTCCTCCAGTCCCAGACCAAATTAGTCGCGTTCACCTCATAATAGTTATCTGCATCCAGAAGCATAAGCTGTACGATCATACCGGAGTCCGGCCCCTTCATTTTTGTTGATGAGCTAAGGTTAGCTAATGCTTCTGCTTTTGCATTTTCTTTCCTTGGGATATGAGTAATTGACCACTCCCGGAACCGAGCAAACAGAGCCTGAACCTTTGCTACGTAATGTTGCATCCGTTCCCCTTTGGCTTCAAAGATCCCGTAGACCTGATTCACCACTAGCTGGGAGTCGCATTTGATTTCTATGACCTTAGAATCTATCCTCGGGCCAATTCGAGTCCTGCAATCAAAGCTTCATACTTCGCTTCATTGTTAGTCAGAGGAACTATGCTTATGGCCTACCTTAGGGTTTCTCCCGAAGGCGTGGTTAATACTATGCCAAGCCCAGACCCTTTTACGTTGGAAGCTCCATACGTAAATAGGGTCCAAACTCATGATGTCATTTCCGACACCATCACTGCTTCTTTAGTTGCCATAGGTAGCAATCCCGGACTGAAATCGGCCACAAAGTCGGCCAAAACTTGTGACTTAATCACAATCCTAGGTTTATATTCTATGTCAAATTCACTCATTTCAGCGGCCCATTTGGCCAACCTAGCTGAAAGTTTGGGTTTATGAAGGATATTCCGCAAGGGAAAGGTGGTCACCACTGCTCTGGGGTGATATTGGACATAAGTCCTTAGTTTTTGAGCGGCGACTACGAGGGCTAAGGCCAACATATCCAAATGCGGGTAGTGAGTTTCTGCTCCTGCTAAAATTTTACGAACGTAATAAATTGGAGATTGCGTACCTTCGCTCTCATAGTCTAAATGGCGCTTACTGTTACCTCTGAGACTGCTAAATAGATTAATAATTTTTTGCCTTCCTTCGGCTTTGATAATAATGGAGGACTTGACAAGTAACTTTTCAAATCCCTTAAGGCATGCTGACATTCCGAGGTCCATTCGAAGTTGTTCTTCTTCTTGAGTAACGAAAAAAAATGATGGCTTTTCTCTGAAGGCCGGAAATGAACCTGCTCAAAGCGACCAATATCCCTGTGAGCCTTTGAACTTCTTTTACGCTTGATAGCTGGTCCGAGATCTCTTTGATGGATTATATTTTGTCGGGGTTAACCTCAATTCCCCTTTGTGATACCAGGAATCCCAAGAACTTACTGGAACTAACCCCGAACGCACACTTCTCAGGGTTGAGCTGCATGTTATGCTTCCTTAGGATGTCAAAAGTCTCTTGCAAGTGTTTAAGATGATCACTTGAATTCAAAGACTTAACAAGCATATCGTCTATATAAACTTTCATGGTTTTCCCTATTTGCCTTTCAAACATTTTGTTTACAAGCCGTTGATAAGTGGCTCTGGCGCTCTTTAGCCTGAAGGGCATCACACTATAGTAATATATGCCAAAGTTATTATGAACGAACTTTTTTCCTGATCCTCCGGGTTCATCTTAATTTGGTTATACCCGTAGTAAGCATCGAGTAAACTCATTAACTCGTTCCTGGCTGTTGCATCAATCATTTGATTGATGTTTGGCAATAGGAACGAATCCTTTTGACACACCTTATTCAAGTCCTTGTAGTCTACACACATGCGAAATTTATTCTTCTTCTTAGGAACTACTACTACGTTAGCTAGCCAGTCCGAATACTTTACCTCTCGAATAGAACCGATACCGAGTAAACGAGTTACCTCCTCTTTGACGAATTTATTTCTGGCCTCGACAATGGACGTTTTTTCTGTCTTACCGGAGGAATGTTGAGATCCAGGCTTATCTTGTGTACGACCACTTCCGTTGGGATACCTGTCATATCTGCATGCGACCATGCAAAACAATCGGCATTAAATTTAAGAAATTCAATAAACTCAGAGCTGAGCTCGGGGTGCAGTCCTGTCTCCAAGTGGAATTTCCTCTCCAAGAACTTTTCGAACAATGCGAATTGCTCAAACTCTTCCGTTGTGGACTTTGTTGCGTCCGTCTCTTCTGGTACCTGGAAATACCTTGGCACCTCATAAGTGTTACACCTAAGGTAATTGACATAAGTTCAAGAAAAAGATTATTTTTGAGGTTATAAGTATTATGCTATTTCAAACAAGTAATAAGTAAAGTCGTGAAGGAGAGAGGATAAGCGAATTGAAGAAAATGAGTTTCATCGAAGTTTGATATTTTAGGATAAAAAAATGGTCCGAGCTATAATACCCCATATTTATGCAATGGTTTATACCACGTGACCATAATAGTAAGGTATATGAAGTATACTAGTATTTAAGTGAATGAGACCTAGAAATTATTATGTGGCTAATTGGTTAAATATTGGATTTTAGTAGAAATTTAATAGATTAATTAGTAGATAATTATTGTTGTGGGCATCAATCCACGTGTAGTAGCTAGAATGACTAAGCATTATAAGTTAATAGGTGGCCTCTTAGGAGTCAAGTGATTTATTAGGTGTATTCATGTTAGGGGGCCCATACTCTATTTTGTGGAGTCCAAATTCATTATCTAACTTAAGTTAGTTATTCATTATTTTAAAAAGAACTAGTGTTCTGCAACAAGACATACATATTTGAGGAGTGATGTATTCTATTTTTGAGGAGTGGGAGGAAATTTATCTTTAAAGTGACATAAAGTCTTGGATGGAGGTAAATGGAGGCAGCAACGTCACTTTCACCTTTGTGTGTAGTAGCCCATGATTTAATTATGTATACAGCAACGACCCTCCTCCATTTTTAAGGAGATAACTCATATTCCTTCTCAAAAAAATGGGTACTAAGTTCTATGATTGAGGGAAACGTAGATAACGACATAGATGTTATACACACATCGGTTTCCTCCGGATAATAGCAAATTGGAGATTTCTTCGTAGTGAAGAAAGGTGGAAGAAGACTAGCTTTGGCATATAAGATTGAGGCGTGGAGGAGATTGTTCACAGAGACAAGCAGGAAGTTGACATTAAAGGTATGCTAAGGCTATCCCTTCTTTCCTTTTAGCATGATCCATATGATATAAACAAAACGAGCAAACACGCAACTTTCGCAAATGACACTATTCTTAGAAGTACTAGGGGTTCCTATGTTCTTGATTCCCCGTGTGTCCTATTATTCTATCATCTGTTCATGGGTCTCAAAAAATACATAAGTTGATAAAGTTTATTTCATAATATTAATCAAAGGCATAATGATCTTATGACATTCCAAGAGATCTTATTGACTTACTTCATTAAGCATGCATTCATTTATACAAGTATATTGACCCATGACCAGATGGCGTTATATATGCATATATTATATGTATATAGGGTATGGGGAAGGTTATGGCGTTATATACGCACCACCACCTGATCAGCTGGTATACGTTGATGATTTTGCCCACAGTGGTCGAGATGATATGATGGGATGCCCTCAAAGGCTTGATGATGTTATGTACGCATATACCTATGCATGATATGACATTTATACGCATATGCATGACATTACAAATATTACATGATTCACTGAGCTATTCAGACTTACAGGTTGAGTATTTTACTCCATATTTCTCTCATGTCTATTATATACTACTTTTCATGCCTTACATATACTTTATTTGTACTAACGTCCGTTTTTCCCGAGGACGCTGCGTTTCATGCCCATAGGTCCCGATAGACAGGTTGAGAGTCCTCCAAGTAGGCTATCAACTTAGTGGAAGGTGTTGGTGCACTCTATTTGCTCCGGAGTTGCCTATTTTGGTCAGTATGATTTGGACATGTATTAATTGGTATGGCAAGACCCTATCCCAACCTTTATGATATTAGTGTACTCTTAGAGGCTTGTAGATAGATGTCATGTATATGGATACTTGTATGGCCTTGTCAGCCTATGTTTTGAGTATACAAATGATCATTTCGGCCTTATAGGCCCATATGTCATATGTATAAGTCGGTATATCATGTTGGGTCGTCCTATGTCTAGTATTTCCTCATGTTTTATTCTACTTATCTCACGATAGCCTTTCTGGCTTATTTACCTATGATAGTATGATATGAAACATACGTTACGTTGGTACTCGGTTGAGTAACGTACCGAGTGCCCGTCGCGGCCCATCCGTTTGGGTCGTAACAGTAAGATTCTGATACCTACTCCCCCCGATTGACTTTGCTTGATTTAGATGCAGACGTCGGTTCCTGTAATTGCTATGCCGCATGTTCTTTCCCTTTGCTACCGGAGACTGAAATCGCATTCATCTCCCTTGCCGCCGGTTGGTCACCTCTTGTTTGGTTGATCCCCTCGAGAGTTGAGAATTTAAGCAACTGATGATATGTCGATGGCACAACTTTCATCCCGTGCAGCCATGGTCTTCCCAGGATAATTCTGTAGCCCATATCACCATCCACCACCTCGAAAAGGGTCGTTTTCATCACCCCTTCTATATTCATGGGCAACAGGATCTCTCCTCGGGTTGTCACGCTTGCTAGGTTAAACCCGATGAGGAGTTTTGTGGCCGGGATGATGCTTCTGGTAAGTTTGTCTTATTCCAAAACCCTCCATTGTATAATAATTGCCGGACTCCCTAGATCCACAAAAACACGTTTGATTTTAAAATCTAAAACATTTAGAAAAATTACCAATGTGTCATTGTGTGGTAGCAACAATCCATCTGCGTCTTCCTACATGAAGGTGATGTCGTCTTCAGTGGCTTCCCGGAGTATCTTGCTGTGGGTTACTGATACCTTTGTCTTTTTTGCCGCCGAGAAGGTAATCTCGTTCCCCCCGAAAATCATGTTGATTGTCAGAGGCGTAGGGTGTCTTCTCCCACTTTTGAGGGTTTCGCGTTGTCACAACTGCAACCGTAATTGTTCTTGGCACGGTCACTCAAGAATTCCTTGAGATGGCCAATTTCAGTAGCGTTGCCACCTCTTCACGTAGATGCCGGTAATCCCCAATCCGGTGACCGTTCATCCCGTGGTATTCACACAACAAATTAGGATCCCTATGGCTAGGATCAAACCTAATTGGCTTCGGGAACCTTGCTTCTTTAATGTTCCTCATAGCCGACACCAACTCTACTACACTGACGTTGAAGTTGTATTCTGAAAGTCTGGGGTAGGAAGGATCTCGAGAACCCAATGTTTCCTTATCCTGTAATGATCTATTGTTTCGACCGCGATCAGTTTTTCTATTGGTAACGACCCTGTCTGCCGACCGAAAACCTCTGCCGCATCCTTCGGCCCGTTTATAGGGCAAAAATCGACCCCTAAAAGACCGTCTATCTATGTCGAAGTCGTATTTTGATTTCTCTTTGTTCTTCTCCCGACCTTTAGCCTACGCCGGGAAGCCAAGCTGATCATCCTCGTGAACATCCGCCCAGGTCATCGCTTGGAACTCGAGCAAGCTTTACTTCAATTTTCGGGAAGCATCAGAACTTCTCAGATTCAAACCCTTAGTGAATCCTTCAGTCGTCCGTTCATCGGGAATAGCCAGGAGCAACATCCTTTCCTTCTAGAATCGGGTTACGAATTCCCGCAGCAACTCGGACTCTCCTTGTGCAATTCTGAATATATCGGCCTTTCGGGTGTGCACCTTTCTAGTGCCGGCATGGGCCTTAATAAAAGAATCTGCACGCATCTAAAAGGAATCGATGGAGTGCTTGGGCAACAACGAATACCACATCTAGGCTCCCCTTGTGAGAGTCTCTCCAAATTCTTTCAGCCAAACTGATTCGATCTCGTGGGGAGCTAAATCATTCCCCTTCATCGTTGTTGTATAAGTGGTGATATGCTCCTGAGGGTCTGAAGTCCCATCATATTTCGGCACGTCGGGCTTAAATCGCATGGGAAAAATTCTGGTGCCATGTTTGGTTTGTACGTCAATTGAGTGTACTTCTTTGAGTCTGGTCCATTCAGCACTGGTGATGCATCTAGGATTTGGTCCATGCGGGTGTTCACTTCCCTCATAAACCGTATGAGTTAGATTTTGAAGGGATCGCTCTCATTATTGTGACCAAATATCCTCCCCCCGGTCCCATTGAAACCGAACTCGCCCCTCGGGGTGTTGTTGTCGACCCTCTGCGTTGCTAATTTGCGAGAGCACCGGAGGAACTGGACCTCGTCCATTCGCGTTATTGGAAGCTCCGGATAACGCCTGCTTTAGTTCTGTCATAACCTTATCATGTCGTGTGATATGGCCTAGAATGACCTCTTGCTGCTCCTACAGGACCCTTACCACTTCAACGACATGCTTCTCTTCAGCATCATCAGGAGTCGCCTCCCGAACATGTCGCGGGTACCGCCGGCCGTTGACCGGCATGGCATCATTCCCCTTATTGCGGGTATCACTAATTGAATCCTCATGCTGAGGCTGGTTTCCATGGGCCTCAAGGTTGTGTGTGTTGTTAACACCATTATCTGCCATTTTCTATGATTCTTTGCTAAGAACAAATAACCAAAACACGTTAGTAAAAGAGGCAAGGACCAACTTAATTACACAGTTGTCTAAGCCCCACCGTGGGTGCCAAACTGTTTACCCGTAAAATAGTACAGTTGAATTTATACGTGGTTTATAGACAAGTGAATTAATTTGATCCTAAAATAATAGATAAACTAGATAAAAATAGAATACTTAGCCTTAAAATATAGACAAAATAGTAGAAATAATTGTTTCGGGAGCTGGACTTCTGGGTGCAACAACAATGTAATCAAGAAGCAAGAAGATAAAGTAGTATTAAGCTTTGAACATAGTGTAGTGTATGTTTGCCAGAACATTAGTGTCCTTACAATGATAGTAGAGCTCACTATTTATAGCTACACCTAGGGAACAAGGTCCTAGGATGAAGCCCCTCTTTATTGTCAATTATGAGGGTCATTGAAAAATGTGTAATGGCGGGCATAAATGCCATATTCTTTTGTAACGGGCAATATACTAAATATTGTAGAATATTCTTCATTAAATTCTACCGGGTGGCAGGCATTTATTTCATCTTTATGAGTATCATTATCTCTGGTAACAGACTAAATGGTTGCCTTCAGTTTCAGCCACCCTCTATCTTAGACTCCACGTGTCACTTTCTCATGCAATCATTCCATATAGCATATTTTATCCCATACAGATAGTTCCATATTAAATGCTACCGGACGAGGAGTATTTATTACATCCTTATGAGTGTTACTCTCCCCGGTGACAGACGGAATAATTGCCTTCGGTCTTGGACATTCCCCCCATTTTAGTTTCCACGTGTCCCCTTTTTGGACGGCCACGTGGCATAGCATATCTTACCCTATACAGATAGTTCCCCTGCTTTCTGGTGACATAACTTTGTGTTATTGGGAAGTTGGTAGAAACATTCTTTTGGCGGGAATTACTATAACTCCCTTTGAAGGCTTCTGACGGTTGATTAGACGCACGCCACTCCACATTTAATGCCCCGAACACGCGTCATCCCATGATTTAGCATAGCTTTTGCCGATTATCGAGGTAATCATGGCCATGAATTTAGCCGCCAAAACTTTTGCTTATACACATCAACTTTATCTCTTATACTCCATAATTTTCCAAGCTCCCCTTATTCAACTTGCATCCTGCTCTTCATTTTTTCCCTAATTCTCTTCAAGCAAAAATGTTTTCGTTCTTCCGTACAATGGCTTCTTCCTCAAAATGTACCAGTTCTTCAAAGAACAAAAATAAGGTCGAGGACTCAGCTCCTCCAAAAGTGGGATCCATCATCCCTAGAAGTCCTATTACGACAAAAGACTTCGAAGAGAAATTTCCTACTGCTAACCCTCGTACATTGGCTGTCAGTAAGTATCTTTCTTCTATCCGTCCTCTAGCATTCCTACTGTGAAGGAAAACTGTTGCTGCCATGATTCGGATATTGTTGCTCCTGATCTATCAGAGCGAGTGACCCTACCCAAGGAGGGTTTTACATACTTTTACACGTATCCATTTACTTTGGGTACGTTTTCTTTGAACGGAGAGCTTGACTCTGTTATTGCGGAGTTTTGTTTCCTCTTCCAGGTATGTTTGTCACAAGTAAGTCCCTCTGTGTGGAGGAAGGTTGCCTGGCTTCGACATTGTGCCAGGAAATGGGAGACGAGCTATCTTTAGCTCATGTGATGAATCTCTATTCTCCCAAGATCTTCCGCGGGGGAATGATAAACCTCTGCAAGCGTGGCCACCATGCTCCGTTATCTAGCATGGACGAAGACAATGACCATGGGTGGATGGAACAGTTCGTTCTAGTTTCCACCTATGATATCATTTCGGTAACGGCTTCATCTTTTTCGAAAGCGTGGAACTGCACTCGTAAGCCTTTTGTTTTATATTTAGTTGGTTAGGGATTCTTCCATATCTGTATTGATCCTTCATTCTACGCTTGTTTTAACAACTCGATGGGTTCCGTCTATGGTTGAAGGCTTGGGCTAGTGGGTCCAAAAGATCTTGGACGTTACTACGCCCAAAACCCGTACATGGAAAGAGTTTTCCATCTAATACGGGTGAAAGGCCAAAAGTCATGGTAATTCAGACTAACCTTGTTTCAACTTTTTACGTGAAGAAATTGATTGATCCCTTCTATCTCTTTCTTGAAATCAGGTCTACTTGCAGGCTCTGTTGTTGTCCCTGAGGAGGACGTCTTGGCTGATCCTGCTGATGCGGCGAGGCTGCTTCAGGAGGTGCTTACTCGAACAGGTGTCTCCGGGCCTACTTTGGGCACATGTGTTTTACTACGGAATCCCCGGCCAGAGAACAAGCAGCTAAAAAGAAGGCATTCTTCCGTGGCCGGGAAAAAGAATAAGAGGGTGAAGAATATTTCACCCGAGTCATCTCCAGAAGTTGTGATCAGTAGCCCCCCTCCTGAGCCGGTCATAGACACCGTGATGATCGATAATGATGGAGAAGCTAGTGATGATGGGGCTTCTCTACACATAAGGCAACGTTCATCATCAACTCAACAAAATACTCAATCTGTTAATTTAGTTACACCAACCGAGGACGACGCCTCAGCACTTTGGGGGAGTTTGATTTAGTAGAAAATGCCAACTTCCGTTAGTTGGCCCCAATTGCTATGCCCGGTACTGCGGGGCTGAATACCGAGTCCCTTCCGTCTTTGGTTGGCGAGCATCCAACAACTAGCACTGCATTTGATGCAGTTGCTTCTCATTCTTCAACTCCATCATCTTCATTTCCATCTTCACCAACACCAACAACTGCTACATCATTTCCATCTTCACCAACACCAACAACTGCTACATCATTTCCATCTTTATCCACTTTTCCACCAGCAACTGCTACATCATCCCCACCGGCCACATCTGACCGTAAAGAAGGTGTTCCTCTTCCCCAGTCCCCAGTTCATGGGATCTTAGGGCAAAATTATGCTGCCCCTTCT